CCACGCGGCGGGCTTTGCGCTTGTACTCGAATCGCAAGCCACTGTGGTGCTCTCAGGCAGAGAGTGCTGCTCGCGCGCGTACTATGGCGATCGCAGAGCGCCCCTGCTTCGCCATGCCCCGCCCAGCCCAAGCGTTACCGTTACCCGGGGGGCACGACCCCCCCCCACCCCCCCCGGGTAACGAGCGTTACCGGCCGGAATAAAAAAATGATATCCTTCTTCTTCTTCTTCTTCTTCAAATTATCATTATTATTCTTACTATTACTAGTATTATTTTTCTTTTTCTCCTCCTCCTCCTCCTCCTCCTCTCCTCCTCCTCCCTCCTCCTCCTCTCCTCTCCTCCTCTCCTCCTCCTCCTCCTCCTCCCCCCCCCCGCCCAGGCGAGCCAGCACCCGTCTTCGACTGCGGCGTCCCGCCTGCTCACGAGGGGACGGGCAGGGCTGCGGCCACCAACGGGCACGCAGGGGAGACGCGCAGGGCTCGATCGGAGACGCGCCGGGCAGAGCGAGAGACGCGCAGGGCACCACGGGAGACGCGCAGGGCTCGATCCGAGACGGCATGGTGACACGAGTCTGGAGTGTGATTCCGAGTTGTCGAGACGCTTCGCGTTCGCCTCCCGCCCACGACGTTCTCGCAGGGACGGAGGACGGAGGCCCAAGAGAGAGGGAGAGATAGAGCATGCCGAGACAAGCCGAGCACGGCCCCGCGGGAGGCCGAACAGAGGCCCAAGACGGCTCCCCAAACGACCCCCAGGACGGTTCCCAATGGCTTGCAGGGCCCAAGTCCCCGCGTATCCAAAGCAAGCTCAGCGTATTCGTTTTTCCCCTAATCCTAAGTAGGATCCTTGTTTTCTCTAGACACCCCGCACAGTCCTCATCTCCTCACCCCACTCTTCCTCATCTCTTTGCACACATCACCATCACACCATCATCATCACTGTCACCATCCCGCCATGATTACCGACCAGCATCACTATCGTCACCATCATCATCATCATCACCATCATCCTCATCAGTAGCATCATCACCATCATCATCGTCATCTGTATCAGCATCGTCATCACCATCAGCATCACCGTTCACCATCACCAGCTTCATCTTCACCTATTGTTACTGCTGTTATTATTATTATTCTTATTATTATTCTTTGCATTTAAAAAAATTGTTAGCATTATGATTATTATTATTATCGTATCTTGTTACCATCACCATCACCATCGCTAGTCTCGTCGTTATATACATCAGCATCGTCATCGGCGTCTTCATCATGATCAGCATCATCATCATCATCATCATCATCAGTATCATTATCATCATCATCATCGCCAGCGTCATCATCGTCGTCGTCGTCTTCGTCGTCGTCGCCACCATCAGCAGCAGCACAAACACCAGCATCATCACCATGGTCATCGTTATCAGCATCATAACCACCATCAACATTATCACCACCATCACCACTATCACTATCATCACCATCATCTTCATCATCATCATCATCTTCACCGCCATCATCGTCCTCCGCATCATCACCACCATCAGCAGCGCCATCATCATCACCATCAGCAGCACCATCTTCATCATCATCACCACCATCATCATCATCATCATCATCATCATCATCATCATCATCATCATCATCATCATCATCATCATCATCATCATCATCATCGCCAGCATCATCATCATATCATTATCATCAGCATCTTCAGCATCATCATCGTCATCATCATCATCATCATCATCATCACCATCATCATCACTAGGGTCATCCGGGCTCCTTGGTCTTCACTCGGTATTTCTCTGTCGTCATGATTCTGGGGGTCCGTTCGGATACCGCAGTGTTCGGCAAGGCTTGCCAGGATGTCAGAGGATTTCCGAGGATTCCACGTGTCCTCAGGACCTTTTACATTCGCCAATGATACTTCGCGAAACCTTTCGAATTCTCTGTGTGCTTCAGGATTCCTCATGGTTCTTCGCGAATGCTTGGATTCCGCGGGTGTTCTTCAGGATCCCTGAAGAGTCCTCAGCAATCCCGAGGATTATTCAGGGTTTGTGACTCCCTATCGGGTTGTCCAGGATCCCGCGAGCTTCCAAATTAATCCCCAGGATATCGCAGGATTGCTCAGGACTCCTCAGGATTCCGCAGGATTCCTGAAGAATCCTCAGGGTCTTTTTGGATTCCAGTGAGGACAGCTTCGTCAGAGTTCCTCAGGATCCGCCAGGACTCCTATGGATAATTACAGTTCACTTTGGGTTCCGATGGATCCCCGAGGACTCCTCAGGATCATTCATTCGGGATTCTTGAGAACCCCTGCGGGGTCCTAGCGGTTCGTTTGAATTTTCCAGATTCCCAGGACTCTCTACGATTCCGCATGTCTCGCAATAATGCGGCTTCCTCACGATTTACCATGGTTCGCGATTCTTGATGAATTTGGGTACGTCAGGATCCAGTGTTAGATTCTTGTTTCATATTGGTTGGACATGACGCGTCAGGGTTCCAG